AGAAAGTTAATAGGTCTTATTATAATATGTCAAAAATATAATATTTATATTTTTAAAAAATCAAAGTTTCTGTAAAGTATCATCTACTAATTTTGGAGACAGAATTTCTTTTAGCGGCCAAACCTTATCGTAAACATTGCCTCTAGACATTTGAGAAAATCTAATTAATGGTAAACAATCAGAAAGAGCTGGAGCTAAGGCTTTAACTTCTTCAGAAGTCCAATCATGAATGTTTGTGATTTGTAAATTAGGATTAGTTTGAGCAATTCCCCATTTGATGACCTGATCACAAATTTCATCTTCTACCATGTCCAAATTATCAAGTTCAAGTATCGACAACAGCAAAGATTTTTCGATTGTTAGGAAATCGGAAGATTTAAATAATAATTCAGGATCGAAACCAATTGTATCTAATATGAATTTTTTTAGATTAGAACAAGAATCACGTGACATTACTGCCTGACAGATCGTTATGGTATAAGAATTTAACCATTCTGATTTTGTTTTTATTAAATGATCTTGAATGAATTTCAATAGATTCGTGAGTGATAATTCATCAGCAGCTATCAGTAGCTCTAGCACGTCCATCGTGTCCATATCATTTAATATAATCACTCCACTATATATATAACTACAAATATATATATATTTATTTAATAATTTACTATTTAATTTACTGTAATATCTTGACCAGGAAACAAAAGATCTTAAAGGTGTTAAGTTAAACTTACTCGAGAATAATTTTGAAAACTTTTGAAGTAATATCAGGGTGTCTTAGGATGTTGGAATCGTTTTCTTTTTTGGCCCATTTTTTGGATAAAGCAGTTTCATAATAGCTACATCTGGCCCTTAAAATCAACGAATGGGCCTGAAACGTTTTCTCATTTTCGCCCTCTCCAACATGAATTATCACATTATATTCATCATTATTTTTTAATAAGTTTAAAATTTCTTGTGAGAAATCAAATATTAGCTCAGAAGACATTTTTTATGTGAACTATTATTTACTATTATTGACCATTCGCGGAGAAAGAAATAAATGTCAGAGAAAAAATATATATTGCCAAGTTTATATATAACATATTTTTACGCCTTTGACACCAAATTGGAAACAATCAAATAGGGCAAATCATTATCAGCAAATTATTTAAGCGTAAATCTCCGTAGATTTTAAACTTGTAAGTACATTTCGGCGAGTCTGTCGCATTCCTTGGCATGACTTGCGTAATGAGATATGGTCTCTACTGGGGACGTTTTGACTGGGCAAGTATAGTTTTTTTTTCTAAAAAATTTACTTATTGTATTTCCTTTATACTAATACTATCCTTAGATCTTTGATCCTACCAAGCATTTTCAGGTTCGCAAAAGCTAATCTTCATGTTCTTTATATACATCTTACATTACACACATTATTTTCTTTAAAAAAAAAAAACATTTGAAATTTTACTTAAGGCATACAATGTTAATTTCTTGTCTTCATATCGATATGAAATTTTTGAACAGATCCGGTTATCCTGTAAAAAAAAAAAAATTTTAAAAGTTCTCAAATTTGATTCGACCGGGTTATGAAAACCGATTAATTAACTTAATATAACCTATCTATCTCCATTTCGGACTCTGTCTAATATAGTTGACACCTGTATTAAACGTAATCCCTCTCTATTTCTTTTTCTTATTTCGATTGTTCCGTATCTATGTTGTACATACGAGTAGTTTAATTACCTTTTTTTTTTTTTTGTTATTAATGCTAATCAATTCCTCTTTTACGGTCCCACATTCTTTTGTCTATTTTTATTGCCGTTTTCGTGAGGATACAAAGTGCTGTGCGATGTGCATGAAATTTCCGATTTTCCGAAAAACAGTTACGTAAAAAGTTAAATCACACTATGCGACAAACTATTAATAATATACACTAACTAATAACATTCTAATTGTCACGTTGCATGATTTGATTTTTTACGTAATAAGTAATTGCCTTGCCCATCTCTAGTTGTCATAATAAGCCACCGAATTAATGACGAATGAACCACAGACATCCATTGATTAAAAAGTCTTCTCGGACTACTTTTCCATGAAGCAAAATTTGAATAACATCCTAAATTAGGCCAACGTAAGCCAATTGCCTAAATACGTCATAGAGCTTTTGGGGCTGACTATTTTTGTGAAGTGTATACGGAAACGGGACGTTCGAATCTATGCATTTTCGCGTAGCAATAACGATGACCTATAGTAGTATAAAAGAATCTATATATCCATAATTAGCACTTAAATATTACTCAACAAGTAGCTGCGCGACAATGTTACGCAAAATCAGGAATGGAAAAATTTACATTAAAATAATTCATATTTAATAAATAAAAAAAAAAACAATGAAAGGGTCTAAAACTACTAGAACACTACAGTCAGACCTCTAATGCATTGCGGGGACCAGGGCCACCAGCAGTTAAAAGCAAAATTAGCAAAATAGCAAAAAAAGAAAAAAAAGAAATTTATTATAAATTTATACATACATGTATTCTAAAAATACAGTATTTATTTATATTAAAATCATGTTGGTAAAGTATAAAAAATTTAATCTAGCTATGTTTTTTCAGTAATAGCTCTTCTTGTATTATCTAAAATATGTTTATAATTTAAAATAATTATTTAATATTTATTTTTGAAATAGACGTTCAAATATAAATTAGAGCAATTTTTGAAAAATATGTAGGTATATAATTTTGCTTTTCTGATAATTTTAGATAAAATTCATTATTAATTTTAAAAGTTACTATATTACAATATATGATATATTAAAATAAATTAATAAATTACGATATAAAAATTTTTACTATTAATATTTACTGTATACTAATTTATTTAGTAATTAACTTCTGTTAAATTTTTTCAAGTACTTTTATTTTAGTTCAATATAATTTTTTAATTTATTATATCAAATTTGTATTATAACTTTTTATACAGTATTTGAAACAAGCTATTATAGTAAAATATTTTATCAAAAATTTTTTAAAAATTTTCTTAGTTTACTATTATTTAATTACATAAAATTTTGTAATCTAATTAATTAAACATAAGATAATGATAATTATTAGTAGTAAGACTTAACAAAACTTTATAATTTTTAATTTTTAAATATTATAATACTAGTAAAAAAAAAGTAAAATCATATTTATTAATATTAATATGCTATATAAAAAAGGAATAATAAAAAAAATATATAAATTTGTTTGTTTATAATTTAAGATTGGTATAAACTAGTCAATCTTGACCAGACCATTTTGAACAATTTGACTATCTAGTTCAAAAGTTTGGCACTGGTCAAACTATATTAGATATATATAAAATATTATTATTATATATTGTCGTATATTCTATATTTATATAACAAAATATATTTAATTAATAGACTAGATTATTTGACCGGACCAGCTTGGCCAAATTGACCAGAAAATTTTGGTAAATCAATCAACCTTGTTTATGATGTATAACATTTAATATTTATCATTATTGCTAAGATAACTTTCTGACAATATATGATAAATCGCAAAGTAGAAGAAAAATATTTGAGTAAAAAAAAAAATATGATAATATGATCAGAATGTTAAACAAATTTTTGATTATATTATGAGAATGTTAAATAGATTTATGATCATATTGTGAGAATGTTAAACAGACTTATGATTAAAATAGGAGATTATTTCTTAATTATCTTAAAGACTTCATATTCGGAAACAAAGAATTTTTGATGTCTTGTGACCCGGCTCTCGTAATCGTCTCGCTGAGAACTACAGCTATCTGGCTGACTAAAATTACCACGCATCCAAAGATCTTTATCGCCAAAACAAGGACCATAACCTTCGTCATTCAAAGTAATAGCATATTTATCATTACTAACATTACTAATCTTTACATCTTCTAATAGATCTCTATTTCCAAATGAGAACAGAAAACTTTCACCGGTTTCCAAATGTCCCGAACCAACTCTCCATTCTATAGGATTATATCCACCAATAATTTCAGAAGAATCGGCAATCTTCATTACAACTAAAGTAGGACCTTGATTATCACATCGTTGATGAAAATTATGTGAATCGAAACCGTCACGAGTTCCACGAATTAATAATTTAAATTCATAAGGAATTTCAGTACCGTTATAAGTAGAAACATTACTCTTATCAATCCATTTAGCGATTCTTGACTTTTGTTGACAGGTTATTAAAACAGAATTATTTCTTGGTAAATCTGTGCTCAATTTGGGTTTACTACCAACTTTCAAATGACATCTAACGATATCATCTTCTAATTCTTCAGATAGAATTGCTCTAAACGGCCAAACTTTATCATATATATCATTACTAGATATTTGAGAAAATCTAATTAAAGGTAAACAATTAGAAAGAGTTGAAGCTAAAGCATTAAATTCTTTAGAAGTCCAATAACGAATGTCTGTAAATGATAAACTAGAATTAATTTGAGCAATTCCCCATTTGATGACTTGATCCCAAACCTCATCTTCTGTCATTTCCAAATGATCAAGTTTAAGTATTGATAATAGTAATGATTCATCGATTGTTAAGAAATCGGAAGATTTAAATAATAATTCAGGATTAGAATGAATTGTAGCTAATATGAATTCTCTTAAATTAGAACAAGAACCATGTAATATTGTAGCCTGATAAAGATTTATGATATTAGAATGTAACCATTCTGATTTTATTTTTATTAAATGATCTTGAATAAAATCCAATAAATTCGTGAGTGATAATTCATCAGCGGCAGATAATATTTCTAGTACTTCCATTATGCTCATATCATTTAACGTAATCGTTCCACTATATATATAACTAATAAAAAGTATATGGGTTATGTTAATAATTCTATTTCAATTTATTTTTTATTTTCATTTAATTTATCGTAACTTTTTGATCACGGATACAAAGATGTTAAAAGTGTTATAACTTACTTAAGAATCATTTCGAAAATCTTTGGAGAAATATTAGGCTGTCTTAATATGTTGGAATCACCTTCTTTTTTAGCCCATTGTTTGGATAAAGCAGTTTTATAGTAATTACATCTAGCTTTTAAGATCAACGAATGAGCTCGAAATGTTTTCATGCTTTCATCTTTTCCAACATAAATTGTCACATTATATTCATCATTATCGGTTAATAAGGTTGAAATTTCATGAGAGAAAACAGATAAAAGTTTGGACGACATTTTTTTTTTATGTAAATTATTAATGATCGTTTGTGGTGAAAAAAAATGACCTTCAGAGAAAAAGGAAAGATGTCAATAAATAAATATATATATATATATAACATCTTTATACCTTTTATGATCAAAATAGGGTCAATCAATTTTCAGCAAATTTATTTAAGCGTAAATTTCTGTAGACTTTACGCTTGTAAGTCCATTTCTAGGAATCTTTTTTCGATCTTCCTTGACATAACTCGCGTAATAAGGATATGATGACGTTTCTATTTGGGCAAGCATACTTTATTCACTGTGTTTTTTTTTTATTACAATAGTATCCTTTGAGCTTTGACCAGTATATTTGGATTATAAGCTACGTTCGTAAGTAATTTATTATTTGTATACTTCTTACATTACACACATTACTTTTTTAAAAATATTTGAAGCCGGTCATAAAGGTTAATTCCATAATAATAACATGAAATTTTGAAAAAGACCCGGTCAATCGTTTTTTTTTTTTAAAAAAAAAAAAGGGTTTCATTTTGATCCGGCCTGATTATCAAAACCAATCAATTGATTATAAGACTAATTATGTCAATTTCTTTTTAGATTCTCCTCACATTTTTCTTATTTTGATTGTCCCATATCGGTGATGTTTTGCTTATTTTTTTTGTCATTTTGCTCTACTATCGCTAATCAATTCTTCTTTTTCTGTATTAAATCAGGTCCCGATCTCCTTTCATTTTGAAATTTTATCACCTATCATTGCCTTTTTTCCTGATTCATGTAGATCTCTGAGTCGATCAATAGAATTTGCGTACACGTGGGCAAAGCAGTATATAAGAATAGAACCCCCCTAGCGCACCCACAAAAATTTTCCGGAAACGTGATTTTTGACCAATCAAATTTCAAGATCAGGTGTAACGTAAACAATCGA